GGGGGGTTCCATTTAAGAAAACGTCGATCACATTGATCTCACCTTGAAAAGGTGACTCAAGGTCAAATCAATATTTTTATCATGTGACCCCCTCCGAACCCTACAACTTTTATTTGAAACATTTTTTTCGATAAAGCTTACTTTCCGAGATATTTTACAGTTTCAAGTTAAAAAACTCACCCTGTATAATAAATTCTTAGAAATCATAATTTTTACTTTTTTTCTGAAATATTTTTGTTTTTACTCTCTATAAAATTTATATATTATACATAATAATATATGTTACATTACGAACAAACTTTTGCTAAAACAAAATTATAAGTTTGTTATAATATTGCAGAACAAAATAATCTATAACAAAATTGTCGCGTAAAATCATTTTTATCAACCAATAAAGACAATTAATCACTATTACCAAAAATGCCATCAAAGGTTATCGAGTATATTCGCGAAGAAAACAGAATTCGCGTGCACTTGGCGCATAACTTTTGATGTATATAAAAATGTAAAATATTGACTGTATATTTTTCATACATAAATATATAAGCAGTAACATCCAAACACACCTGACGAAGTCTCGCACAAATTTGTCACATAATATTGACATGCTAAACATTTGCGCATATTGATTACGACATTTTTCTAAATGGCAAAAGAATCGTGGTAAAATCGTCATAAAATGTCATCGGGTTATCACTGACTGTTAAGATTTAAACATGACTTAAACACCGCGCGAGTTGTTAGTGTTCGAGAATGCGCGCATTCTATACGATTGTTGTGCTAACGATCCTCTTTGCGAGCCTCGCTAGTAGTTGGTGCTTCTCCATCAAGCCGCTGATGGGATTGCAAGATGACACAAATTCAGGATCGCAAATTTTAAATTTTCACGAGAATGAAAGTACTACGACACCGCAAGTTATGGAGGGCAGAATAATATTTATTCCACGAAGGACTAGAGTTTTCTGTCAACCGGGCCAACAAGCCGATCGGCGTGGGAAGTGCAGGATGGTGTGGTGAATTAACAATTTGACAAATAAAAAGCAGGTAAGTCTTAAGTATCATTTGTTTTTACATCTTATACTTAACTAAATCGTTAGTTAGTTTAATTAATTAATTATTTTTTAAATTATTTTTCTTCTTTTATTTAATACAACTGACAAAGAAATAATTTCATGTAAAAAAAGCAAATAAAAACATCGAATAAATTTTTATTTTGTTAATTATTTAGTTTAAAAAAATAAGTTTAAATATGACAATAATGTGCGTCTATACATATATCGCAAAAAATAATCCATATTAGTTTTATCAAGTATGTAATCGTGCGCAGCAATAAAGATTTATTGCTATCGAAAGTTATAAGAAGCTATATATCGGAAATATCGAGAATATAGAAAATATCATAATTATATAGATGAAACAATTTTTTACTTATTACATCTCTTTCTAAGTGATTGAATAAATTAAAGTGTGTCGCATCTTACATATTTTATTCTCTATACGTTCACGCCATTAATATATGTATATTATTCTTTTTATAATTATATACTTTTTATATTCTGGAAAATTCTTCGATAAAACGGGAATAAAAATTTATTCGATATTTTTATTTGCTTTTTTTTTACATGAAATTATTTCTTTGTCAGTTGTATTACGACTTATTAAATATTATATTGTATAGTTAATGAATAGCGTTAAGAGTAATTAAGAATAAATAATAAACAAAGAAGAAAAAAAATTTTTTTAATAATAAATTAATCGAGGTAACTAACGCACGATTTAGTATAAGATATAAAAACCTCATGCATATTTTGAGCAAATCGACTTTATGATGATCAATAGCGCGCGCGATTCGAGAAACATCTAATAAGTAAAGTTCAAGATTTCATCACGCAGTTCCCAGTATCGCAATCTCGAATCGATGAAAAATTCCGGACACGCCAGCTGATAAAGCCGTTGGTTGGTGTCTTCGCGATACTCTGCGTCGCAGATAAAGCAACCTTTTAAGCCGGTTTGACTACAAGGTCGATTTTAATTGGCCCGCTCGTCCGTTTCCGAGTAGTCTGTTTGCGTTCGATTCGAGAGGATGGTAGCGGCGACAGCGTCGGATAGAAATCAATCGTCGTCAGTTCCTCAACGTCTCACATACAATCGCATCCGCAGCTCGGCGGCCTTCTAGCGGAAAATGCGAGATTCGAGTCAGCTGTTCGAATCGCGGGACGTGTTGAATCTAAATTTCGTATCGCTCACGCTTGGATAACGTACGCTCATCCGATAAAATTTCAAACCAAACGCTTGACGTTGTGATTAACGAATTCTGCAAGTGGGTACTGATAATGATTCTGGAGCACGTGTTTATAAAGCACGAACATTAGTACGCCGCAAAGTGTCGCTAATCGCGCTGTGATTGTCGGTGCAATATGTGAAAAGAACTTCATCACACAAAACTCGTTATATTCATCATTAACTCATACCAAAAGTCTATGATTTTTCTGAAAGTTTTGAAACGTAGCAAGATTACGCATAATTGCTTCGCATAGTGAATTCTCGAGTGATTAGTTACGTTTGAATGTTTGAGAAGGTAATTAATAAATTAAGAACAAAATATTCATAGCAACTACGAGAGAGTCTGTAATTAATTCAAACAAATTGAAACTGCAATCTGATTGCAGAATCAGTCATTAGGGAGCGAAATTTAGACACTTTCGACTGTTATATATTGCAATCATACGCAAATATGAAGTTCTTGGCCATAGCAATCGCGATAGCATTATTTTTCTTCTTATCGATGTCGAGCGCACGCACGTCCAACTTGAACGTATCGGAAAAGGAATTCGTGCCTTTCGATAAGTACAAAATACAAAATCAGGATACAAAAGCGGGATCAATCATTAATGTCCCTATACAATGTCCGCCGAACAAAACCAGAGTTGGAAATCGCTGTAGAACTGTCTTTTAGGTAAGAGATTTTCTGCTATAAGAAAAGCATTAATATATATTTTGCAACAGCATAAGAAAGGGATGCCTATATTAGATAGATATTTATTTATCAATTCCTTTTAGCCTAAATAATCTTTATGTAATAACTGTACTTGATAGCTAATAATTGTATCATTTAATATCATTAAGTTATTTCTGAGTTATCTTTATATATATATAAACATTTTATTTTAATTTCTCCCTAAGTCTATACTAGATTTTTTTTGGTCTTATTCTCTTTTCTTGCCCAAGATGCCTATATTACTTATATTATTGTTAATCTTATTAAATTAATTAAATACTTATTACTGCCACGTATTATAAATAAATAATAAATGTAGTAAATTTATCAAAATAGTACATTATCCAATCTTTTTAATCTTCCTTTTGATTGTCCATTTATGACTAATGTCTTTACGATGTATTTACGTCAAGCATATGTTTGCATTTTCTTGCAGTGTTATGTAAACTTATGATTCCGATAAAATACAACATGATTCCGATAAAATACAAGTAGTTGTTATATTTTATCGAAATCATAATTTGATCGAGTGATCAACTTATGATTCCGATAAATCAACGAATCACTCAAAGTTGATTATCTTTGCTAGAAAATCGCTAGAATCATTAAATATTACAATATCCGTCCGTCAACGCACACAATTATTATCACGTATTGATTCCTTTGTATCCAACAAATTCAAATATGCAACATATTGTACAAATCTCTATTTATAGTGGCCATTTTACTTTCGCACACAGTACATATAATTCTTGTTTCTGATATTACCGCGTGCTGTAATAAAATCTTTAATAATCGCCTTTTATATTTAAAGTTAAAGTCTTGATTTTTGTTACAGAATCTTTTTATTGAGGGATTAAACACCAGTACTATTCATGAAAGAAGATATTCCCGAAAAGAAAACAGAGATGAGGATCATATATATTTTGAAGATTAAAAACAATTAATGGAAAAATGAAGATCTACATTAGAAATATCTAATTAATTAACAACGCACAAAGTGCTACAAATTGAATCATCAATTATAAATTTTTCACGAAATAATCAAGATGTGGAGATGGTATCAACTAAATTATTTTGCTACGTATATATACTTATTGTCAATTATTAAGAATAGACTTTTTATATCAAGCGTGCATGATTAAAACCAATGTAAAAATTATGGGGTATTAAAAAATTACATTTAATATTAAAGAATAAATAATTAATATTTTATTATCCGTAAAAGAAACCAAATTAATTAAATTCACTCCTTCTTCCTCTAAAAAAAAAACAATTAAAATTATTAATTATATATAATAGAAAGAAGGCATCACTAAAAAAATATGTTCATATAATTCTCTATATAAATAATATTGAAAATATATAAGATGCATAATTTATATTTGTATGTCTGTATATGTATATCTATCTACATAGTGAAATGACTATAAGTTAATGACGACGTAAAACGGCTATAAATTAATAACAATGCATTCGCATTACAACACGTAAGTCTAAGCTTTATACTGTTCACACTTTGACATGGTCATTCGATGAAATTCGAAATATTTAATGTCATGACTAATAACATTTTTAACGAATTGAATACTGACAATTTTAGGGCACTTATATTCCAAGCATGAGTGTTAATATGACCTTCACATAGTGTCACTATGTCGCCTAACCATCTCGCCATCAATCCGAGACTGATGTCATACTTTATTAAAAGCTCTTTATACATATCAAAATCCTTGTATGATTATTCTGAAACTTCTGAAACGTATGGAAATTACGCTTTACGATATGCATTTTGTGTAACTTCTCATGAAATGATTTATTACGTTCGAATTTTTGAAAAAGTGATTAATAAATCAGGAAAGAGTTATTCGTGACAATTGCAATTAATTCACACTATTGAAAATGCAACATGATTGCAGATTAAATTGCCAAGAAGTGAAATCTAGACAGCCTCAATTATTGATTATACACGACATATATTGGAATCATGTGCAATCATGAGACTTTTACTGCTCGTAACATACACAATAACGTTATTTTTCTTCCTGTCACTAGCGAGTACAAGCGCGACCAATTCAAGTACATCGCAGAAGAACAAGCATTTCATGGACTTCGATTATAATAGAATGACACCAACAATGATTAATACTTCTATGCAATATCTATCAAGCAAAGTCAGAGTTGAAAATCGCATATCTACAATTAATTCACAATAAAATCTTCTAAATAAGAGAGAAATAAAAACTATTTGCGAGAAACGTATCACTCTTTATGCACGTGAGACGTATATTGCAACAGCATAAAAGATATATCATTTCTATTATTAGAATAAGAGATCAAAATTAAATAAAACTTGATATTACCGCGTGTTATAAATAAATATTAAAAGCAATAACATTTTTATAAATAGTATTACATATTTAGTAATCAAAATAATAAATGCTGCAAATTTGTATATATATTAAATTTGCATATATATTATATATTATCATTTTAATTTTTCTCTCTTTATTTTGTAAGTCAATCTTTTTAATTTTGAAATATTGTGTTGTTACGGTGCA